TATATATAATTTGAATTTTTGGAAACTGTGCTGTCAACTTTGGAAAAAGTTATCCCAATTTACTGTGTTGAGTTGGCATTGTACAGAAATTGACAGCCATATTGGTCTAGAAATGTTAATATTTATTTTTATTTTTTCCATTTGTACAAGGGTAACACACTGTATTAAATATGTAAGGTCATATCTACGTGGGTTTGATTACAGAAACTCATAAAGTATTCTCTAAATAATGAAAAAAGAATAAGATAAGACTACAAGAGGAAGAAGCAATTTAAATATGTTCAGGGACCATTTTCATCTTCAGAATTAAGGATTATTTTAATCTTACATCACTGCCTTTTCTCTTTTACTTTCCTTTTTAGTTTTATTTTAGGATTCCCTATTTTTAATGTTCATACAGAGATTTCTTTAACTGAAATACTGAATAGTTTCTCTGGTGTGAAAAACTATAATAGAACAGAGGATCCTAATGAGATAATTAATAATGTGAAATAGGAAGTAAAGGGCTAAAGATGTAGGGAAAGTGGGAAGGGTGGGGGAGAGGTAATAAAGGAGAGGAAAAAATATGAGAGATTGAAAAAATGGAAATAAAGTGTTTGTAAATGCGGAGGGGTGGAGGGGGTGAAGGGAGGGCAGGGACAAGGGGGAAAATGAGAATCAAGACCTATCATGTAAAAGTACAGGATCCCAATAATGAATGTAACTGTATTGTATACCTAGATTGTACCAATAAACTCAATAAAAAGAAAAAAAAACAAAACAAATCATTTTTTGCCGGGGATTTAGCTCAGTAGTTCTGCTGCCTGCCTTGCAAGTACAAGGACCTGAGTTCAACCATCGGTACCAAAAAAAAAAAAAAAAAAAAAAAAAGTTTTCAAAGATAGGTGTGGTAGTGTATGCCTATAATTACAACACTCTAGAAGGCTGAAATAGGAGGACTGCAAGTTCAAGGCCAGTCTGAAAAACTTAAGACACTGTCTCAAAAGAAGTAATTTTTAAAGGGCTCAATGTGATGGCCCTAGGTTCAATCTCTATACCACCAAACAAAAAACTAATATGTAATACCTATTTTTAGCAATTAAATCTTTATTCATTATTCTTCAGCTCAGATTCCAGTGTTCTTAGGGAATCTTAATTTGTTCCTCAAGGTGAAATACCTGGAAGATAGTTTCTCTTACAATAAACTACTATTTAACAGCATCCTGAACTTTGTGATTATCATCTAACCTGCAAATATTAAAGCAAACTCATGACTGATTGATTACATCTTTGCTGTGCCTCAAGGTAATAATAATTTAATTAACAGTAATGTTAAATAATATCTGGAAGAGAAAAATTTTAATTATAAATGCTCTGAGTCTTACAACATAGACACAGATTCTTTGATGCTTCTGCCATCAATCAATAAGTGGTGGGCAGGGGTCCCTACCTTCTAATTCAACAGGCTTTATGACTGCTATAACCAGCAGATTCTATAAGTGATGCTATGTGGCTTCTGAAGGCAGGTCTTTAAAAGCCATGATTCTTCTACTTGTACACTGGAACACTTGTTCTTTTATATGTTTTTTATTTTGGTATCTGGCATCAAACTAAGGACTTTGTGCTTATGAGGCAGGTGGCGGCACCACTAAGCTAAATCCCTGGCAAGACTTGTTCTTGAGGCTCTTAAGACCAAAGGTCCTAAATCTTGCCTCTACTATTACATACTTTAGGGCCAATTTTTATAACACAAATTTGATAAATTTTTTTCCCATGTCTGTGTTGATAATGAGTCTTAAGAGTAATACTTTGAAAGGAACACTTGGGCTGGGGATTTAGCTCAGTAGCACCATGCCCGTTTTCTAAACTCAAGGTCCTTAGTTAGATCCCAGGTACAGAGGGCAGGGGAGGGAGGGGGGGGAGAGAGGGGGAGAGAGGGGGAGAGGGAGAGGGAGAGAGAGAGAGGGAGAGAGAGAGAGAGAGAGAGATGGAAGGAAGGAAGGAAGGAAGAAAGGAAGGACCACTTAGCAACATCCCGTATCATATAGATATCATTATCTACAAACACCAGCATTCAGAATAATATCTCAAAAAACTGAAATTTAAAATGCATACCTTTCTTTTTTCGAATTCTTGAATCGTGTATGTGTGTGTGTGTATGGGTAGTAAAAATGGGTATTGCCCTTAATAGGAAGGGATGATGCCAGAATAATCAGATTCAACTTAGTTATACCATGTGTCTCTCTACCTCTATGTTTAACAAAGTATTACAAACATGAAGAATCAGGAAATATATCTGATTCTTTATTTTTAAATAGAAGTTATTATTATAGAAATGTCTATTCATAAACAGATCAATAAAATAAACCTGTCAGACCTAACACGAGGTGGAATCTTCATTATAAAGGCTTACCTGTATAGCTACTACTTGTTTTAGAAAAATGTTAAATCAACAACTATATTATTATAACTAGTATTATTAAAAATAGTAACTACCATTTGTTGGGCACTTGTTTAATACTAGTACTCACTGTGGTAAACTTTTTAAATAAATACACATTCTTAGTTCTTAAACTAAAGCTCACAGATATTCAGTCAGTAACTTCCTAAAGACACACAATGCTAGGAAGCAGAACTAGAATCTCAACCTAGCTAAGTTGTTCCAAAGCCTCTTCCATAAGCCACTAGACTACAGCAGAGGGGAAAAAAAAAAAAATCACAAAAAGCCTCTTACCTCCTTTTGGTTATATTTGATAGCAAGTTTTAGACGACTTAAATTCATTCTTTCCTCTAATAGTCCCCGTTTGTCAAGAGGTTCATCACTAGATGTATGGTTTAGGATCACTTCCAATTCACGTGAGTTCCGGGCTTGGGCAAGCAAGTCTTTAGCAAACATTTTGCACTGACGGGCTAGTTCTTCATAATCATTTCTAAAAAATATAGTAATTTATTATTAGAAATGTCACTTCCTCTAATTAAACTATAATCACTAGAAATTGTTTTATTCAGCATCCATTTAATTCTGACAGGGCTACATAAAATCTGGTCTTTTTCTGCTTACAAACGAAGGATGCAACAGGTGCATAAATTCTCCACAGCTTTGAGGAAAATGGTAACAATTATGTTCTTTGTGTTCATACTGATAATCTGAGATAAGGACAATATCCCTTATGTAGGACCAGGGATCTAGCTCAGTGGTTCTGGTGACTGCCTCTCAAGTGCAAGGACCTGAGTTGGATCCCCAGTACCAAAACAAAACAAAAAAAACCCTTATGTTTATTGATTTTTCCAGAAATTCTAATAATTTTCACCAACTATTTCTTTACTTAGCTCATTTGCTCTTATTCTCTAAGTTTAGCTACATTCCTTCTGCATTACTCAAATAAATAATAGGAGAAGTACTTTAATGCTATTCAATCATTATTATAAAATAAAATTTTGGGGGGGTTACCAGGGTTCGAACTTGGGTCCTTGCACTTGCAAAGCAGGTAGCAGCACCAGTGAGCTAAACCCCTGGCCCTATAAAATAATTTTAATAAAGAGTTTTCATAGGTCTACAATAATTTATGCTCTTCTAATATTAAAAATATTTTTATTCATATTTAAAATGCTCACTGGAATGAAATTCAAGTTAGAAAGTGATACTAAAATATACCTACCAAAGACCTTTTGTTTTCTTTTTGGTACTGGGGATTGAACTCAGGACCTTGCGCTTGCGAGGCAGGTGCAGTACTGCTCAGCTAAATCCCCGGCCCTGAATTTTTAGATTATTGTTCTGAATCTTGGCCAGGGATTTAGCTCAGTGGTGTTACTGCCTGCCTTGGAAGTGCAAGGTCCCGAGTTTGATCCACAGTACCAAAAAAAAAAAAGATTATTGTTCTGAATCTAAGTTCTTTGAATTGCTTATTAATGGCAGAAATAACAATATGTGAGAAATAAACTTTTATAATTCTTTTGTAAAGTATCAATTATATTAAATTTATATGTAAATTTTATAACAATGTAAATATTAGTTGAGAAGAAACAACTACGGGGATAGGGCTGGACTTCAGAAACTAATTTTTTATTTAGTTATTTTCCTCCAAGAAAAAGAAAAGAGAAACAGGAAGGCTTTCCATTAGTTAGTCTTTCTATACAGTGGCATTTTCCATAAAAATTTAATTCAAAGAAAAAAAACTTTTTCTTATAAGCTAACATTTCTCTCATTCACTCTTTGTATTTACTATGTAACCTGAGTAGTTGGATTTCATCAAATGAAGTATTCCCTGCTTCTTGGTTTGAGTATAGTATTACACAGCTACTTCATCTTTAAATATCTGATAGACCACTAGATTCAAAGGTAAAATTCATATTAATATTTGCTTAATCTCTAATAGATTTTTGAAAGATGTGACTATATCATTTAGATGGAAATATAGTAGAGTAGAAGCAAGAAGTCCTATGTTCTAGGTATAATTCTGCTTCTGCCTCTGTTTTCAACTCTGTTGTTAATTAGTTGTTTATATTAGTAGAACATCTACCCTTATAGAACTCTTTTTTGTCTTTAAAACACTGCATTGAAATTCTATGGTCACTTCCAATTTTAAATTAATTATTCTATGACTATTAATATTTATTTCAAATCCTTTTTGGAATGAATTGTTTTATACAGCTTTATAGTTTGGATCAAAAATGTCCTCCAAAAGGTTGACATGTTGAGAGGTGGGGCTTCTGAAAGGTAACTAAGTCACTGGTATTAACCTCAACAATGGCTAATCCACTGATGAGTTCATAGCTGAATATGCTATTAGGAGGTGGGACCAACTTGGAGAAACTGGGTCGCTGACTCTGAAGGATGTATCTTCTCTTTCTGCTCTCTGGCTGCCATAAAGTAAGCAGCTTTCCATTCTGTCACCAGAATATTGCTGCACTGGAGCCAGTTGATTATGGACTGAAACTTTTGCAACTGTGAGCCAAAAAAAACTTTCCTTCTGTACTTCATCAGGGCCACAGAAACCTAACACATGTGGTAACTCTGAACTCAAATTATAGGACTACAGTAACAGGAAATGCTTCATACTTAAAGATTACTTGATAGCTTTGTGCTAATAAAAGAAAAAAAAGTTACCTTTTAACCTTGTCTAATGAATTCATCAAAATACATACTTTGTCATATCAAGTTTAAAGTAAATTTAATTAAAGTAACTCTAAACTTGAAAACTTATCAACAGGCATCTTTTATTTATGCCTCTGCAATTCAGAACTGTCAAAAACACACACTATATACTGCTGCTGCTATGGTTTCTTTCTTCTTTACTTTTTTCCTTCCTTCCATCCATTTTTCTTTTCTTCTCTCTCCCTTTCCATCTTTCTCCATCTCTCTTTCCTTTTCCCCCTTCTTCCCCACCCCAGTCTTGTTGGTAATTAAAGGGATTAAAACCAGAGTCTGTTTTTAATTTTTGAGACAGGCTCTCACTAAGTCACTAAATTGCCCAGACTGGGCTCAAACCACTCATCTTTCTGCCTCAGCCTCTCAGAGTGCTGGGATTGAAGGCATGAGTCAGCATGCCTGGGTGAAAATTTCAAGTTTCTCACCATCCTTCTAATATGTGGAATTCTGAACTTTCTGATCTTGTCAAGTCACTGGATGGGTGTTATGTAAGACTCCAGTAGGAGCTGGGTTTAAGTACAGAGCCTTGTGGAAAACTTGAAACAGCAGCTGGGAAGAAACCCTAACTGCGCCTTCTTCAGACATCACCAGAGATACTCTGCCATAAAGGAAAATTTTTACAGCTTCCTTGGGGATTTAAAGCTGGCTAATGAGTGGCAGAGGGCAGCTGGAAAAAAAATGACCTAAAGAGCACCAGGTTCTGTTTCTCTGAAGGAGAAGGAAAATTCCAAATAAGTGACAACAAGGTGCAGTCATCTTGGATCAAATGTAAATAAATGTAAATTATAATTCAGCCTTTGGAGAAATTCAAGATCAATAAGACTCTGAGTTAAAAGACATTTTATCATTTACAATTTCCATTTATTCCCACCTGAATTCCACCTCCACAAGGCTTAGTTCTTTTAAATCAGCACTAAGTTCAAATGCTCTCAGAATTGGATCCTCCTCTGTTAACATTATTAGAGCTGGACTGGCCAAACATCGATATATATCAAGACGAAACCTGTGATAAAATTTGATTCCATAATGTAAAAAAAAAACCCTTAACATACACATAGAGTTTAAACTTTTGATTTTTTATAGTTTTACAAAATTTAAAAGTATGTAAATAACTATACATATACTTATTACAAGATAAACTTCACAAAGAGAAAGACTGAAAAATTAAATACTTGAGACACAAATATTGAAAAACTAACTACAGCCTTTAAGAAAATTATTTTACTGTTTCTGCACAGATTCAAAAGTTTGTATTGTTCAATCTAATTAAGCTTCTATTCCTTAACTAACAATTTTAAATAAGATATGTTAATGGATATTTGGTATGATATGGTTTGGATGATTATTAAAATATTCTTTTCCTAGGGCCGGGGATTTAGCTCAGCGGTTCGATGGTGTGCCTCACAAACCCAAGGACCAGAGTTCAATCCCCGGTACCAAAAAAAAAAAAAAATTATTTTCCTAGCAATAAAAATTCTTTAATATGCCATATATATTTCTGTGACATGACCCATTAAGCTAGGTTATGATTTTCAAACATGTTTCAAATCTTAAGAATAAAATTTTCCCTTTATACATAATTTCCAGCTAACAGAAAACAATCCCCTTACCCTGTTAACAAATTTTCATATTTTAACCCCTAACTGGGAAACAAACCAGAAAACTTACTATACTTATTCATTTATAAATGTAATTCATAATCATAACTTTACTATACAATGCATATTGTTTTTACCTTTAAATTTAATACATACTTATTTTAAGTAAATACTTTGGGAACATAAAACTTTTCAATCCTCCTCCTCCCTCCTCCCACTAACTCTACACTTCAAAGACACTTTGTAGAGAATTGTGCATATCCTTTCCGATACTTTCTATTAATATACAAACATAATACAAAAAGGAAAAACTTGCTTTAAAAAAATCATGAATTTATATATCACTACAAATAGCTTCACATCATTATTTCCTACAACTGCATGATTTTTATTTGATGAGGGTCCACTGAATTTCCAGTAATGAAAATTTAAGATTGCTTTTTTGGCAGTATAAAAATGCAGCATTAATATTATTTTTATTTCTATATCCTCTGTATACTTCAAATTTCTGGGCAAAATGGCACATGTATTTTAAATTCTGATTGTTGCTTTGTCCTCTATCTTAACTAATACTGGATATTAACACGTTTTAAAGGTTTTGCCAACTTAATGGAAAACAGAATTTTATATTTGATTTACTCTGAATTTCTCCAGAAGCCCGAGGATTCTTTTGTGTTTAATATCTTTATCTTTCTTTAATAACTTATCTTTGTTACTCTGTAAACTGCTGCTCATATTCTTTGGCCCCTTTTTTCTCTAATGACTATCTTTTTAAAAATTAATTTATAAGATTTCTTTACATATTAAAGAAGTCACTCAAATACTTCTCCCCAGTCTGTTGTTTATCTTCTTTACTGTGTTTATATTAAGTTTTTTTTTCAATATGAAAGTTTAAAATATTGGGCCAAATTAATGATACAGTATATTTAGTTTATAGGTTTAATGTCTTATATTTAGAAGCAATCTATTGTCCCAGCTACTCAGGATGCTGAGTCAGGAGGATTACTTTAGCTCAGCAGTTCAAGGCCAGCCTAGACAACAGAGAGAGAGCCTCATTTAAAAATAAGGGAAAAGATTCTGTATAATACTTTTAAAGAAAAGAATATTTTGAAATTTAGCTACAACCTAACTCTTTAATTAATAAGTACAATTAACTGTATTAAGTAAGGGTTTCTGCAGAGTTATTTGCCTATACCACCATCAAAGGCTAAGAAAACGCCAGTCATGGTGGTACATACCTATAACCCCCAGCTATTGGGAGAATGAGGCAAGAGAACTATAAATTTCAGGCCAGTCTGAATAAATTTGCAAAGTCCTGTGTCAAAGCTAAAAGGGGGGGGGCTGGGATGCAGCTCAATGGTAGAGCACTTGCCTTGCCTACTATGCAAAAGGCCCTGGATTCAAGTCCTAGCACCACTTGTATACATGTATGCATATATACATACATATAACCATAAGATATATGCTGAGAAAATATGCATAATCACAAAACTTATCTTCTTGTTTTTTTCATCAGTATGTCTAAATTAATCTTATGAGGTCATTTCTACAATAGACTTTTATACTAACCTATTTTACCATGTCTACAAATAGACTAAATATACTAAAGGATTGATGACAAAATGTACAGAAATAATTTTCAAAAACAATGGAAAGAAAAGTTTGGCAACTACTGTGTAGCCACTTTATATAATCTAACAGTAGATTACAAAATCTATCATCTACTTTATAAAATTTACCATTTTATCATTTGACATTCATAACACCATTAAAAGTAACGACAGTATGAAGAGGTCAGGGATATCTCTCTACAAAGAAAATAAAAACATAAAACTAGACAGTTGTTAGGCTATGGATGTAGCTCAGTCGTGCCACTGTCTGCCTCAAAAGGGCAAGATCCTGAGTTTGATCCCCAATATCAAACAGAAACAAAACAAAATAAAAAACTACAGACAGCTGTCCAAAAAAATCAACCATTTTACGCCACTGGAAATATTCTACTTGGAACTGTTGATTGCTGAAAAACGGAGTTACCAGCAGGAGTGGCTGGAATCTGTGCCTTGCCTAAAGCTATATCCATTGCCCCTGACTCCAGTTTAGTCAATGAGATCTGTAGTTTTACCAGTTTGATGCTGGTGAGCCTGCCTACACCTTTGAGACAGAAAGGCAAAATTATTTCACGGCGCAGTAAAAAACTACAGCCATGCTGGCTGAAAGTGGTGTGCTTAGCAAAGTCAGATAGTGAAACTCTGTAGCTTTGTAAGGCTGACACTGAAGTCCAAATTGAGGCAAACAGTAGACCAATAAGCAATTAACAAGGGTGATCCTTGAAAAGGAAAAGCCATAGATGGATTTAGATAAGATCTCCACAAATCCCTGGCTGACTAGAAAATTACAGAACACATAGCTTGGTAAAAAGAAAAAGCCAAGGAAATGTTGAGAAATAGCTATAATTTTAAATGCATTCCCAAACTAACCCACAGAGAAATTAACAGAGAGTAGAATTTCTAGGGGCTCAAAGTGTTATCAGCACAACTTTTATCTAAACCATCATCTGGCTGACCTATATAGACATCAAAATAACTTTAAGGAACCAAGGCTAAAAATAAGAATAAAAACAACAAACTAAGCACACATCAATGACTGTCTGCTATAAAGAGACAGGTTCTGCAGACCAAGCAAGTAACCAAAGACAAAATAAAATATAAAAAAAAAACTTAGGAAAATAAAACAGTATTCAGAGTCTATAATACTAAACTGTCCAGTTTGCAAATAAACAATAGATACGTTATTTTTTTTAAAAAGGTAAGCCATGCCTGTTCAAGGAGTAACAGCAAAGGCTTACCACAAGGAATGGGATGGAAAATAACCCAATCAGAGTGCTCACTTCAGCAGCACATATACTAAAAATAATCCAATCAGTCACTAAAAATAATAAGCAAGCAAATAAGAATAACAAGTCACAAGAATGGGGTGGGTGGAGACCATCACACAGAGTTTCTACAATATACTATCTAAAATGTCCAATTCCTAACATGGGACATGTGAAGAAAAAAGAAAATATAATCCACACTCCCAAAGAAAAATAGTGAACAGGAACTGTCTAACATTTAACCAGATGTTAGATTTAACAGAAAGAGATTTCAAAATAACCATTATCGGTATGTTCACAGTGCTAAAGGAAAGTACGAATATGAAGATAATATAGCATCAAATAAAAAAATCAATTACGTAAAATAAAATTGTTATAAAAGTGAAAAATACAGTAACTGAGATTAGAAATTCACTAGAAATGCCATTTATGGATTGAACTATATCCCTCAAAATTTATATTCAGGGCTGGGAATTTAGCTCAGTGGCTCCCCCACTTGCCTTAAAAGAGCAAGGTCCCAAGTTCAATCCCCTATAACAATAACAACAACAAAAATTATATCCTGATGTCCTACCTACCTATACATCTAACTGTGACTTTACTTGAAGATAGAATTTTAAGGAAAATCTAACTCCATGGAAGACATACACATGATGTATAAGTTTCGGAAAGATGTCTTTCAGATAAAATATCCAGAATGGCACATCAAAAAGAGTTAGAAAGTGAGTATAATGGTTTCTAGTATGTGGCAGAGTCACTACTCAAGAAACCTGGGGTTTCATTTTGAAATGAAGAAATGTTTTGAAATTAGATAACAGTGATGGACACATAGCTTTAAATAGCTTACAACTAAACTGCATACTTAAAAAGTATGAACTTTATAGTTTACAAATTATATCTTAATAAAGAGGTTATTAAAAAATAAAGTATACTTTCCAATCCCAAAAGAATTAAAGTAGAAGTTACCAAGAGAAAGCACTTTGGAAATCCTCAAATATCTACAAGGTAAAAATGGCAAAATTTAGAAATAATCTATGAGGCACAAAATGGGAGAAAATACTTTATCCCCCTAAGTGGGATCAATTCTAAAACCAATCTGGAAATCATAATCTTCAATTTACAGTATTTTTAATCTTACAAAGTGTGAAAATGTTTGCATCAGTAGAAACTATACTTCAAGTTTTAAATTTTGATCTTTTTTCAATTTTTGGTTTTGAGGGGATTTTTTTGGTATGAGGGCTCGAACTCAGAACCTTGTTCTTGTGAGCAGATGATATAAATTTTGATCTTTTTCTTGGATTACAATACTAATATGATACTCTCTCACTATGCTGGGCTATAGCTGAAAGCTGCAGCTACCAGGCTACCACAAGATCACATGGTTTCTACATTAAAAAAATATGATTTCTCTTAGATTATCTTGCTCATTATAGGCTAATGTGAGTCTTTTAAGTATGTTTAAGGTAGAGTAGATCAAGCTATGATGGTTGGTAGGTATGGTATATCAAATGCACTTTTTACTTAATGATATTT